CAACCCCTGCTGAGCTGCTTCCTCCCCTTTGTACAGTGTCTGCTCTCATCAGATGCTCAATAAATGCTGTTGAAAGCAGAAGCACTGACCATTCCGGTCACCCGCCTTAGCCTGGAAAAGGTCCAGGAGGACCCTCGCTGGGCCCAGCAATAACCCTCCGGCGGCTAGGCCACGGGAAGGCTGGATGTCCTGGAAGAGTAGCCAGGGAGGTGGGGGACACGTGGTGCGGGCTGGAGGAGCTCAGGCAGCGAACCAGCTGCTTCTCAGCCCAGAATGAGTGAGTGAAAGTCCCGCCCTCCATGCATCTGGCTTGGGTACACAGCCGGCGCTCATAAATGCTACCCAGGGACCTGAGATTCCTATAGTCCCATCAAGGCCTCTGGTAGGAACACCCTGCCCCCCGCCTCCTCAGCCCCCCACCTTCACCGCCTCCAGGTCGGGGGCAGGCACTCACCTGGTCCCCGCTCTCAGATTCATTATATTCATCAAACCCACAAGCATCAAAATAATGAGGGAAGGGCTCTGACCAGCCGTCCTTCGTGCAGTTCCGGCCTACCACCCTCATGCCTGCAGCAGAAGGAGAACTCAGAGGCGCGAAGATGACTTAAGAGGTCCCTGAAATTCTTACTCCAAAGTTGCTTCATAGGTGGGGCTTCCCGGAAACCCATATGGCCCTCTGAGCAGCATGGCAACTCAGGTTCATGAAACCTTCCACTGTCCATGGGAAACAGTGATGACCTCAAGCTCAGCCTTTACAAAGGACAGGGGGTGAGGGAGGTGCAAGCTGACCTCTTAACAAGGGGGCAAGGGACTGGGCTGGGCTGAACCCAGCCTCCCCCCCTTTTGGAACTGGCAAAGGCTCACCAGGGACAGGTCTGAGCCCCTCTCCTGGGCCCTGGGTCAGCACTCATGGAATTCTGATGAGCTGAACAGCCTGGGATCCTAAATGCAGATTCCAGGCCTATGTTGTCCCTCCACCCCCACCCCGGGATTCTGGTCCAGAAACCACCTCAGGTGACTGTGGAGGAGGAGTTCCCCTCATACGTTGGGAAACTCCACCCCAGGTGACACTTTCACTGGGAGCTCTGGGCCTTCCCACAGCTGCAATATCGGCACCAAGGGGACACAGGGCTTAACTAATGAGGACCAGACCTCATTAATTAGCACAGGTCTTATTTGGATATACACTTTGGTTTTTTTAAAAATAAGTTTGCCTTCCCAGGTTTAGGGGTCTGTTTCCTGTCACTAATGTACTTTAGTTTTCTTTTTGATGGACATTAAAGCCCATTTTGTGGGGCACTGGAGGGGGTAGGAGTCACTGTGGTGGCCAGGCTGGCGTTCACCCCATCTGGGGCTGTCTAAGCCTTTAACAACTGCTTGGTTCATCCCTCCCTCTCCCGGTCATCTGTAAGAGTGACCCACCGATGGCCAGGGGTAAGGAGAAGGCAAGCAGCCCCCTCTGCCTCCAGCCCAGCCCCTTAGTGTGGCCCCAGACTGGCTCCTGTTCCCAGACTGGCTTCCTGGGAAGTCATCTGGTGCATTAGGATATAGGGGATGGTTCTTCCATTCACAGGGTTTTGTGTACAACAAGAGACATCTGCAGAAAGGGGCCCCAGCACCCAGGCTGCTAGAGGTATCCATCCTCTGTGGCCAAGGCCACCTCTGGGGAGCTTTAGAAGGAGGCAAGAGTAGAGGCCAAGACAGGAGACCCCAATCCCATTTTTCTATCCACATGTCCTTGCCGGTTGAGTGGGAGGCTCTAAAAGCCAGTCTTTTAGCCCAGAGAGGGAAGGCACATTCCGGGGCTCCAGGGAGCCACAGAGGGATGGTGACTCTGCCATAAGAGAGCTCTGCCCAGAGCGGGAAGACTGTCTCCACAGCTCCTGGGACTCCGAGTCCCGTGACACAGGATGGGAGGGCATCCGGCAGGCCCAGGGAGAGGAGGAGTCTCACAGCTCCATGCCCACTGCTCCTGCTTTCTTCCAGCAACCCAGGCCCGGGCTGCTGCTAGCAAGCTCCTTCCAAGCCCTGTGACCACTTCTCCAGAGAGTCCACATGTCCCAGGGGACCGTGGCCTAGGCCACATCCCTCCCCTCCCTGGGCCTTGCCTCCTCTCCACTTCGCCCACATCAGGGTGGTGGGAAGAAGAAAGAAAAGCTGCTCCAAAAAAACCCTTTCTTTAAGTGTCCTAGAGATAGGAGCTATTTCCTTTCTTTTATTCTTCTTTCCCTTTTTCTTTTTATAACACAGTGTGGGCTCGTGGAAGTATCAGCCTCTTTGCTCAGCACTCTGCCATGAATTGGCCACTCTTGCTCCAGTGCTCTCCAGACTGTCGGGGCCCCACAGCGACTGCGCCTGGTGACTTCAGCAGCCTCTCTGCCCCCAGCAACTTCATAGGAGCTCAGAGCAGGGCTTCTCAAAGTGGGCACCCTCCCCGGACCAGCCCATCAGCATCACCTGGGAGACTAGCTAGGAATGCACATCCTCAGGCCTGCCCCAGGCCTAAGCATTAGAGACTCTGGGTGGGGGGCCCAGGAATCTGAGTTTTAACAAGCCCACTGTCGGGGGTTGGTCACAGTGAAAGTGAGAGAACCACTGTTCTACACATGGGAGCTCAAAGCTATCAGGAGCCACCTAAGCCAGGAGCTCTTTATTTGGAGTCCACGATGGGGCTTCGAGAGGTCAGTGCTGCCCTGAAATGGATGCACGATGTTCTGTCTGAGCACTTGAGTGCGAGATTCCAGGGAGAAGATCCACAGCTTTATCAGAGAAGGAAAGGGACCTGCTAAAGGCCACAAGCCACAGAGAGGTATCGTCCAGCCTGGTAGAGGGGTCCCCACGCTCACACGTCAGTAGATGCCCCCAACTCTAGCCAGCCCACAGTTGACCCCGACTTACCTGAGAGATCCAAGGAGTTCAAGTCTTCAAAATCAAACTCTCCTGCAAAACACAGACACGGGCATGAGTCAGAACACCCGGCCCTCCGCTTGCCAGGGCTGCCCACTGCTGGCTCTCTACGCCAGAAGGCCAAGGCTGCTCCTGGTCTGGAGGACAAGGGATGGGGTCTCAGCCAGGAGGGGGCCTAGCAACGGCAACCGCACACCTTCCCGACACACTGCACGTTCTAACCTCGATCTCACTTGCTTTGTGTGTCTGTGATGCTAATGATGCGGCTGACTCAGTTCTCCACCCTGGCCCGCAGGAACTGGAAATGGCACAGTGTCGGGGCGAGGAGAGGGCCTCCCCCGGAGTGGGAGAGGAAGGAAAGGCTGATTGGGCCTTTTCAAGGAAAAGGCGAGGAATAGCCACAGGAGTCCTGGACTTGGGGTTGCTTTCCTCTTGGGTGCTCGCCCCTCCAAACCGCTCTCCTCAATGGGAACCCAGGGCTTTAACCTCAAAGACTTTATCCTCAGGCCTTATTCTCTTTCTCTCCTGACTCTTTCCTCCCACCTCCACCTAAGCTGGCTCCCCTCCTACCAATGAACCTCCATTTCCCCTCTATTTCCCCAAATCCTGTTTCCAAAGTCCAACTGACATGCCACCTCTTCCAGGAAGCCTCCCTGGACCTTTACATTGCATGCGGCATCCTTAGGTCACTTTTGTTCTGGAGCTTGTTGTACATTCCAACTCCGAGGCTACTTGGGGGTGTCAGTGTCTGTGTGGGCTCACGCGCACACTCAGGCCGGCACATGCACACATGGTCGGCTTGCTAGCCCCTCCATGGGTGAGTCTCGGCCTGCCAAACAAGCCCATGAGCATCCCGAGGCCAAGGGCTGTGTCTTCCATCTTCCTGTGCACCCCCACCCACCTCTAGGATGGCCAGAGGGGGAGGGCAGAGGGTAGAGGAGGGAAGAGCCTGGTCCCTAATGAGCCTCTCATTCCACCCCCACCCATTCCCAGCAGTCGGAGCTGGGCTCCAGCTAGATGGACAGATGGACAGGTGATCAGCAGTCTGTCTTCTCCAGGGTTCCTCTTACCGATGGTTTCTGTCTCCCAGACTGAAACAGAGAAAAAGAGAGAACACAGAGGTGAGCAAGGGCTGAAGTGGGGTCTGCTCTCATTGAGCCCTGCTGATTCCCCTCCCCTCCCTCTTCTCAAACCCACCCCCAAACTCTGGAGAGAGGCTCTGCTGGGGGCCCAGACCATGTGGACTACAAACAGGGGACCAGCCAGACACTGGAGATTTCTACCTCTCCCTCTAGACCAGGACACAGTTACAGAGAAATCAGCGGGGGCATCTGAGAGGAGAGAGAGTTCTCCTGTATCTCCACAGCCTGCAAGGCAGCAGCTACCCCAGCGAACCCCAGCTTCAGCCCTGGGGACCCAGAGGTGAAGTGAGAAATGCCATTCTCAACTTCCTAAGTAGCTGGCAAGTCTCGCTAACTCAGTGTTGTGAATGAGAAGCTAAAAGGCCCTGTCTTAATGAACCATTTAAGATTCAGGTGTAAATGACACACTCACGGTGCAACTGCCAGAGGGAGCGGCAGAGTCTAAAGGAACGTTTATCTTAAGAAAATCTTATTTTACTGCTGATTCAGTTTGCCTTTTTTTTAAATTATTATTATTGTTGAAAGGAAGCAGTCTTGCCATGACACCTGACCCAGAGTAGATGTTCAGTAAACTTTTAAGTAAATGAATGAATGAAAGGAGTCCATGGATAGAGGATGATTAACCTGGTTTCTACAGGAATGAATTCGAGACTGGGCTGCATCTCGGGGCTGATGAGTGTCTGACATCTCACCACTCACTGCGCTTCCCTCCTGTGTCTCCTCTTTCAAAATTCACCTCCTATCCTGCTCAAGGCGGGATGTGGTGGCACCCAGTCCCCTAGTTGTCAGGATGGGAGAGCTTGACTGCCACCCTCCTTCTGGGCTGGCAGGAGGACTGGAGGTAGGAGGTGTGGCTAACAGGCCCCAGAAGGGGAAGCAAGGGAAGGAGGAGGCAAGGTGGGGGCATTGCAGCTAGGCACTGCCTTCTCTGGTCTTAGGATGGAAGCCCAAGAGAGAAGCCTGGCACCCCAACACCTGTCACACTGTCTCCCCGACACTTTCCGCAGGCACCTGCCACTCCAGCAGAGTTGAGGTTGGTGGAGTTCCAGGTGTAAACCAGAATTTGCCTCTCTCCCCAGACAGGACAGGGAGGGGCCAGCAGAACTCTGTAGGGGAGTGGGGTTTGGAAACTCTCTACTTCTAGAAGGACATCAGCCGAAGCCTCAGGTGAAGGAGGAAGCTGAGGCCCGGGCCGCAAGGGACCTGCCCATGGCCACACAAGTGACTCAGGTGCCTCCTGCAACCCAGGGCTCAGCAGTCAGTGGGTGGTTCTCAGTAAACCGCCTGCCTGGAGCCCAGCCCCCACTCAGTGCCCTCGACTTGCCCACAGAGGTTCGGTGGAGGGCCAGAGTCTGGCCCTAGGCTCTTCCCCGGGTCAGCATGGTCTGGCCAGACACCAACCTTCTTTGGGAGTCCACAAGGCCTCCGCTGAAGGCAGAAATAATCTCACACCCAAAGGAGAGATGTGGTCTCAGACCGCTCCCCACACAGATGTGGTCATTAGGGCCTCATGCCTGTGGTTAGAGCACTGACTTCTCCTGCTCCATCTCCCTACATCCTGAGTCACAAAGCCCACCCACTGCCCACCCACGGACTCCCACATGGGCTGGGGCCCCTGAATATCTCCAGAGCACTTGGAGATATCCCCCCACATACACACACCTCAAACACAGACATGCCCCAGACTGAGCTCTTTACAACACTGTGACTACCCAGCCTCTCCTCACAGGGAGGTTGCCATCACATGCTGGTCACCCAAGCTGGCATCTGCAAGTCACACAGCTCCTGTGCATCCAGTATCATCTCACAGGCAGCCAAAGAGCTCCTGGGAGATGGGATCCCCAGCTCCTCCTCTCCTGAGCCCCCATAGCTGCCCGAAGACAGCGAGGACCAAGAACATGCTCTGCTCAATGCATACAGGGTGCCTGACAGTGAGGGCCTGGGGCCTGTGCCTGATCTAAGTGGTGTACAAGTGTGGACATGGGCTGGTGTCTTGTGTCCAGCTGCCTGAGGGGGTCTCACTGTGTGTCCCTGCGTGTGTCTCCCTGGGCTTCTGAGCATCTCAGATGAGTAATAATGACAATAACATCAGCTAACCACTGAGTATTAAAATGTGCCCAATCCTGTGCTAAATGACTCCCATGTGTACCACTCGAGTCCCCAGTGACCAGGCCACATTCCTGTTTCAAAGACTAGGGGACAGAGGACACAGGGGTAAATGCCTTGCTCAAGGTGGGCAGCTGGGTAAGTGATGGAGGCCACGTGTGAGAGCCCAGCTTTGCCCCACCCAGGATGTTGAGTCCCCATGTGGGCCTGGCAGACATGTCTGAGGGAAGCCTATGTGTCCGTGTGCAGGCTGTCTGTGGTTCCATCCCTCCTGCCCCGATGGGAGCTCTGGAGCTGGGAACAGCTATCAGTATGTAGGCGCCCAGTGTCCCGATGCTCGTGTCCCAGAAAGAGGTCTGTGGCCCAAGTGTGGGGAGTGGGCTGGACTGAGTGTGGCCGGAAGAGACCCCGGGGGAACCCACCTTGGTCAGGATCGAAGATCTGGAAGAATTTGGGGCAGCTGACAAGGATGATCTCGCCCACATGGGCAGGCTTCCAACACGTGATGTTGTCCCACATCCCGGGGCAGCCTGTGGGAAAAGAGCTGTGTGAGCCAGGCCCCGCCAGCAAGTGCCTCTCTGTGGCCTTGTCACCTCATTTCCCTAACACGGTCCCAAGGCCCAGCACCATGGGCGTGGGGGAGGCAAAGGGATGGGAGTTCATCAGGGAAAGGACATGTAGGAGGGCACCCTCTGGACCCCGTTTACAGGAGGGCAGAGGACATGCATGTAGTGATGTGATCATGACAGAGAAGTGAAGTGACAGACAGCAGAGCACGGAGCGTCGGGAGAGGGTCTGCATCCTGCTGAGGCGTCTATACACACGGGCTGTGGAGACGGCCACTCTGCCAGATAAGGGACAGCCAGCAGTGACCCTGTGTCCCGCCTCCCGGGGCTGCTGCGAGGAGGAATCAGTTCATAGGTGTAAAGCTCCAAGCCTCCGGGCAGAGCACCAAGCTCACTCAGTGCACGTCCCTTACCGTTAATATCATCAACTTCATGATGACAATTGGGTGTCCCTGGGAATCATTCCCCCAAGAGGGGCCTGGACAGGGAGATGGACCCAAGCTCTGCAAGGTGAGAAGAAAGGCCAGCGGAAGGCCACTGACAGGTCACAGAGGAAGCCTGGATAGGCGCTAGGCAGGGAGGGGGCCTGGGGCAGGCCTCCTGAGCCCACAGCCTTTCTGCTCAGGTCCATGACAGAACAGCTTTTGGGTGCTGTGTGGACCAGAATGTGCTCTGTCTCTCAGAACTGAGACCTAGCTATTTTGGAATTCACACCCAGTCACAGTAGCCTATAGCATCCTGCTCCTGGAATGACCAAGTTTGGGAGCCCAAAGCACCACAGAAAGCTCTGAGGGCCCTGGCCGGTGTGGCTCAGTTGGTTTGAGTGTTGTCCCATGCACCAGGGGGTCTCCAGTTCTATTCCCCATCAGGGCACATGCCCAGGTTGTGGGGTTGCGGGCTCAATCCCTAGTAGGGGAGGTGCAAGAGGAAGCCGATGAATGTTTCACTCTCACGTGATGTTTCTCTCTCCCTCTCCCTTCCTCTCTAAAATCAATAAAAGCATATTTTTTTTAAAAAAAGGAAACCTCTGAGGACAACAAACCAAGAAGGCAAGGACACTGGGGGCCACATGAGAGAAGCTGTGTCCCAGGTCTCACAGCAAGAGGCCAGTCACTGATGGTTCCTGCCCGCCCAGCCCAACCTGACATCGGGTCCTTGAAAGGGACCCAGGAGCACAGCATTAGCTGCCGTGGCCCATGTTGACCATGGAACAGCCATGGAGGGTAGTTACATCTGGCCCATGTCCCAGGAGCCACGTTAACAGATACTCCCTTAACGCGGACCAGCCGGCCCTGGCAAAGCCAGCTGCTACCGCCAGCTGACGCTCCTGAGGTCCTGGGGCACCTTAGATGGAGGTGAGCAGGCACGAGGCCTGAGGGGTAGGGGGGGTGCAGGGCCCAGGCAGGAATGGCACGAGGAAGGAGGGACTCCCTGGGTGGAGGTCCCAGGCCTGGAGGCAGGGAAGGGGATTCATTCTCTTAACTATTTTCTGAGCCCCTGCCACTTGGACACCCCCAGCCTCCCTATTCCCCTCCCGTTGTAGCCCAGTTCTCCAGTAAGTCTGCCTGCCCCCTCCTGGCTCTGCCTGCCCCCCACCCCAAGCCTCTGTGGAACTTAGAGGAATTCAGGCTGGGGGCTGGGGCGGGGGGCAGGGCGG